TAATTATAACGTCTCGAGAACCGGGATAAAAGAAGAGGGTTTCTTTTAACGAACTTCATAACCTAATTTTCGCCGACCGAAAGAACCGGGGTAGTTCCACGCTGTTCGAGGAGAAGATTCGCCATTTCTCGTACAGTAGCATGGCGGGGGGCTACTCCACGAGAATCCATAGAGAGAATCCATTTTCGAAGAGATTCCTCCTTAACCTCTGTTAATTTATGCGAATTTACGCGAGAAATCGCGCGGTGTTGAAGACCGCGTAGTCTGTCTTGGAGAGTTGAACGTGGTACGTTAAATCGGCGCGCCACTTCACGAATAGAAGAGATTTCTTTATTCTTAAAAGCCTGAATGGCTAAAAGAATCCTACCCTCTTGCTCTGTTGAATTTCTAGAGGTTTGGGAGCGAATTGGTGGCATAGGGGGTGGTTGAAGATAAAGGGTTAAAATTAATTGACGCGTTTTGGGTGGGGTGGCCGACTCGGTGGTGTGGCCGACTCGGTAGTGAAATACGTTAGTTATCGTAAAGCTTAGTAGGGAGGGAAAGGAGAAATTACCTAATTCCTTTAAAAGGTAGTATATACTCTATATCTTCTTTAATTATCTGATTTAACTAACACTTTTAACTCTTAAATATTTAGGAATCGGGTCATAGCCTATCAGAAACTCCTTTCTCGTAGTTAGTCTAGGAAGAGTATCTTCTCTAATTTCTTACTCTTAATCGACTCCTATTCCACCTAATCGAACACCCATTATTTTATAAACTATTTCGATTAGCCCGCTCTACATTATACCTTCCTCCGGTACCCTCCGTAATAACTATACGTCGTCGTCTACGTAATATTATCACAGAACGACAGAAATCTATCCTCTAAACGCTCCCTAATAATGCGAAAATTTCGATCGTATTAGATTACTAGACATCACTATATAATTAAGCGTTTATGGCTATCATCACTAGCTACTTTATGGATAGTGACTAGATATACTAAGAGGTTCTACTTAGATTTAAGCCGCTCTATAGCTCCTATATAGGGTTAAATCTAAGTAGTGTACTCCTTAAGACACTAGTAGAACATCAGATCTAAGATTAGGTGTTCGGAATCATAACTAATAATGCGACTAATAATAAGATAATGGTCGAGGTAATTTAATAGGCGCCCTCTAGCGATATAATAGTGATCCGAATACCCTATCTTACCTATGTTATCTAGCTTTATTTAAACTAGCTCCTTAATCGCCTAAAAGTAATTCCTCTAAATAAGAACGCAGAAATAAAATGGACTAAACAGAAGTTATCTGCAGTAAAGGCTAATGCTTAGCATTAGACACGGAGGATCTTATACACATTAAATAAGGTCCGTTATCTTATTATGTATATCTAGTGGAATTCTACCTTCCTTATGCTTCGTCGTATAAAGAGACTACGTAGCTTTTTCTAACCCTTCTATGAGGAGTATGATTATAAGGAGATATTACTTAATAATTGAGAATAGCGTTAGATTAACTACCTTCTATAAATCACTCGGCCATTCTTTAACTTTATAACAGAGCTCTTAAAGATAAGGGAGGTCATAATATATCTCGTCTTTAAGCTTTATAATGCCCTTTCTAATCACTTCTTTAAAGCAGAGGCGCTGCTTAAACGTAAGCGTGTTCTATAGAAAATAGAAATGCTTAAAGCGCTTATAGCCGGTCGCTTAAAGCTTAATGAGTAATACTCTTAGACAGATAACTAACCTTAAAGGCTATATCTACGTAGTTAGGATAATACTAGCCCCTAATAGTAGGTTTTAATTCTTTTTATCTAATCATTAGGAACCTCACTAGCGTGATACCTACCGAAGATTATTCTAGGATTTCTTAATTCTATATTAAGAGCGCCTTATAAGGAATAAAGAATTAAGTAATACTCCTATAGCGGCATTATCTAGTTTAAGGCTAAGTAAGATGCTTAATAGTAATAAGATATCTGTGAAGCTAGCTAGTGATAAGATGACCTAATATCTTAATAGAGGTATATTAATAAACTAATCCTTTATATAATTATACTAATATTTATTACTCACTTCTAGATCTAATTAATATTAAGCCTCTTTAATTCTAGCGGGAGAACTAGTCTCGTTTCCCTATAATTACGTTACTTACTCGCGATATCCTCTTAATACTAGTAATAGGTGCTAGTGTCGAACGCCTCTTTAATACTACTCGGGATATTTATTATTTTCGCCGTGGTCGTCTTAAGTCTAAAACGATTAAGGAGCTTATATTATTCCTGTGTATAATGAGGTTTAGTGTTAAGGATACTGAGGTAAAGTAGCTTCAGCAGTTCTTTATATTAGCGGAGATCGAATTAGTGAAGGAGTAAAACGATAATTTCATAAGGGATAATGAGGTTAATTTAATTAGTGATAATGAGGAGGAAGGGAAAATAGATGATAGACAGCGAGAGACTTCTTTATATAATAGATAAAGAGATAACAGAGCCCTAGTTACCAGAGAGTATAACTTAGGTACGGGCCTTAGGAAGGAAACGTAAGAGCAGGGCTGATGACGATTTTAAGTAATATTGAGAAATATTTACACATTTAAGTTTATTCAGATTTCTTTCCAGAAGAGCGCTGTAAACAGAATACACATACAAATAAGTAAAAATTGCATAAATTATGCAGTCACACGTAAGAGGTATGTTTAGGTGGTTTACACGATTTTGGGGCCCCAATGGGTTATAGAATTGGACCCAAAACCCATTTTGGGTTAGGTTGGGTTGGGTTGTGCTAAAGTCCATTCCGCGGTTATTCTCGCGGCTAGTATTTTATAGCTACCTAGATACTTATAGAGGGTATTCCCGGATTTAAAGCTAATATTATAATTTAGATAGGTAACGGAGAGTTAGGGATAATATAATTACGCCGCTATATCTTCCTCGTAGTAACCGCCTTCTAGTTATTACTAATATAGCTCGCTATAATCGGGCTTATTATAATACGCCTTATAGTTATCTATATTAGGATTATACTCCTCCTAGTAGTACTTAGCTTAGTCCGTTTTATTTTATTCTATTTAGCTTAGTTCCTTAAACTTCCGCAAAGCCCAACTTTGGGCCCAGGGTCCTGGCTCGAAACCTGATCAGCAACGAGCTGGGGGTCGAACTTTTTAAGCTCGACCCGGACCCCGGCTCGCAGGGGGGGGCTCGTCGAGCTCCCCCCCCCCCCTGGGCTCGAAATTGCATAAAACCATGGTCTTGGCGTTCATAAAGTGGCTGAATCATCCAAATAAATAACTGTCTTTTACCCATGTTCTGGTTTATACATAGAATTCGACTATATTATGATAATAAGGAATGGGTATTATTTGGAAATTCTAGTGAGTAGATGTATATTTTTGAATATTAACATAATAACTAGGCTTTATAACTATATAGATTAATTGGTTGAAAACTTTCTATATTCATGAGTTAATATCTGCTGAGATATATATTCTATACCAGGAACCATGTATATCTTCATGGTCGAGTATTAATCTCAGATTAATATCAATTACTTTCTAGGAACCTTTTAGATTAATAGTCCTAGTGGTTCTGGATAAGCTACTATAAAGGCCTATAGTCGAATTGATTTAATTAAACGGTGCCTATACTAGGTAGCCTATAGCAGCGATAGCAGCCTAAAGGTTATGTGTAAGCATTACTCTGCGATCCTTAAGCATCCCTATGTAGCTAAAAAAGATGCGAACGGGAAGGATACGCGTCATAGTATAACTACTATAACTAGACATCTCAGGACTTCTGCCTATAAAAGGGCTATAAGTGGAGCTTAGTAACGAGGGGGACTCGATAAGCTTATTCAGTTAATAGTATAGATACCCCTTTAGTACGATTCGTACCACTAATTAAAATAGGATAATACTACCCGAGAGGTTTTCTCTAAGGTAGCTTAGGAGGATAATCTATTATAGTTTCTCATAATTAATCGACTTCCATTTTACCTTATCGAATATCTAACGTTTCGACGGATAATATCATAGGCATACTCGGCCCTAAGCCCCCTATCTATCCCCTCTACTAATATAATTTAACGTCGACTATCTGCTTATATTAAGGAACGCTAATATTCTACACTTAAACTACTTCCGGCAGATGTAAAAATCTTAATTATGTTAGATTACTGGACTTCACTATTCGGATAAGTATTTATGGCTATCACTAGCTATTTTATCGATATTAACTAGTCCTACCGGGAGGTACTTCTTAGGTTTAAACCCCTCGAAGGTGCTCACACTAGTGCTAATCTACGTGGTGTTCTCTTAGAGGTACTTACTGACCATAGTATCTAGGATCGTGTGTTTAGATTAATAATGGATAATGCATTAAATAATAAGACCCTTATTAACTCGCTTTAATAGGCCTTATCGAGTAATGTTCATATTATCCGAATACCCTATCTAGTATATGTTATCTAATTAAGTCTAAACTAACTTCTTAATCGCTTAAAAGTAGTCCCTCAGAATAATATAACTAAGACTAGATGGTCTGATCGTTAATTAATTCTCGCGAAAGTAAATGGCTAAAGTAAAAACCGGAGTATATCTCATACTTTAAATAAGATACGGTATCTTACTATTTATATCCGGGCTAGTCCCTAACGTCGCGAAGCATTTATTAGTCTTTAGCCCTTAGAGTAGGCACTTATGCCACTCTAGGATACGAAGACTAGGTGGAACTTAACGTTTCTTATGCTTCGCCGGGTAAAGAGGCTCCGTGAATTCCTTAGTACATTCTGTACAGACTATAACTACGAGGAGATAGCACTTAATAAGGATGAATAGCGCTAGATCGATTACCTCCTTTATCTTATAAAGCCATTCTATAAATACACTCTTACGCTTTTAAAGACTCGAGATATGACTCTATATCTAGTATTCTAGATCTATAATATATTATTTAAGCACCTTAAGAAGTCTATTACGTAGCTTTAACGAAAGCGTGTCCTATAGAAATAATAGATGCTTTCCTCCCTTAAGGCTGGCCGATTAAAGCTTAATGAGTACTATTCGTAGATAGATTATGATCGTGATTATATTTATATAATCAGTACTATGCTAGCGCTAGATAATAGGTCCTAATTCTTTCTCTCTGATGGTTAGATAAAGGAATGGCGTGATAAATATCGAGCCTCGTTCTAAGATACTCTCTTACCTTACTAAGAGCGTTATACTACTAGTTAAGGCCTATTAGTCTCCTCTCCTAGATTAAGGCTAAGCACAGCTCTTCATAATCTGCTTCGCCTAAAGAAACCTAAAGCGAAGCCGGTTAGTAATGAGATAACCTAGTATCTTAATAGCGGTAAGTTATGCTCTTCTTCTAGTCTTATTTCGATGAATATCCGTCACTAATTATATATAGATAATATTAATTCTAAGCCACTACTATTTTAGCGAGATTAGGAGTAAAAGCTACTAAGTCTTATCACTGCTTCACATCTCCCATTTTTATTCCTTAAACATCAGGAGTTTACCGATGTTATTAAATACGCACGCCTTACTCTAACTACACTAACCATTCCCTCACGACGAACTATCCGTGAGCGGTTAAAGGCATTTATCAATAAATACTAAGAAAGACTCCTCTAGGGTCTACCACTAAAGATAAAGCTCTCTTACGCTAGACTATTAGACATCGCCATTTTAGTAGGCATTTATGGCAGTGATAGGCTACTTTCTAGACGAAGATTAGGAGTACCGCGAGGTTCTCCTTAGCTTCGAGCCACTCTCTGGTACACACTCTAGGTCGAATCTTAGTGAGGTTATTAATAACTCGGATATTATAAAAACATAATATTCTTAATCGAGTGCTTATAATCACTACCGATAATGCCTTAAATAAAATAACACTAGTTCAGGCTATAAACGACTCAGCGAGGACCATCTAACTAAGCACTGATTCCACGATTATTCGTGTTCCTTACATTACTCATGGTATCTAAATCAGTCTTACAGATTTACTTAGGAAGATAAAGGCATCCCTAAGTAATGATACTGCTGAGTTAAACTGGTCTAATGATCGTTTAAGGGTATTACGTGCACGCTAAAGAAAGCATGAGATCGCAGATACACTTAATAAGGTATGCTATATTCTTAGCATTACTTCTATATACTAATATCTCTTTTAGGTTCGTAACCTTACTGTTTATATTAACGTAAGCCCACAGCGGCGAGATGCATTTTATGCTCTCTAGGATGAAAAGCCTAAGCTTATTCTAATCTAAGATGTTAGGACACGGTGGAATTTAACTTTCCTAATGCTCCGGCGAGTAAAGAGACTACAGCTAATATTCGATACCTTCTGCTCGCAGTACGAGTAGCCTCACTTTATACTAAGCCCAGGAGAATGGAGGCAGATTAAATATCTGCTCTTTATTCTTAAACCATTCTATAAGTTTATGTCTTATTTCTAGGACTAAAGGCTCGAGTATCCACCTTATCTTTAGTATATATAACCGCCTTTTTAACCATCTTAAGAAAGCGATGGCTGCACTTAGACGGAAGAAGGTTCCATGGAAATAGCTTATATAATCTGCCCTTAAAGCTGCGTCAGAAAAGCTTTTAAAATACTATAAGGATACAGATAGTATCGATAGGCATCTTTATGCTATTAGTATAATTTTGTCTCTATCTTAAAAGCTTTAATTCTTCTCATTAAAGGAATGGGAATCAGATAATCCTAGCAAAGCTAGCTGGAAGGACATTTACCGAGGTAGTCTTAAGACTTAGGTTAAGCGCTATAAGGAGCGGCTTAATATTAGGGATAGTCAGTTATCGCTAAGTGGTCTATTATCTAGGGTTAGAATATCCGAGCTTAAATCTGCATTAGAGTTAAATGACTCCCAGCAGTCTATCGCTCTATAGGAGGATGAGCTAACTTAATATCTTAATTCCGGTAAGTCTGACGATCTATCCTTATCCTTTATATCTAACTAACATTAATAAATATCTAGCCCCGCGGCGTTTATCACCTCGTGTGTTCTGGAAAGAAAACTAACATAAATGGCCGATTCTCATAAGCATTACCCGTGATATTATGTCTATCACGGCTACTAGTGTAGGCGTAGAGTGACCATTTAACTCTACGCGTGATATTTATCATTACCGGCGAGGTTCACTAAAGCCCAAGATAATCCAGGATATTATGATGTTTATGTGTATAATAAGGTTTAATCTACAGAAGAATCAGCGGCTGATTCTCTAGGAGTACCTATCCTCCCAGGAGATCGCAGCTTTAATAGAGGTAAGTAGTACAGTTACTAACGTATTTCACTACCGAGTGGGCCACCACTACCGAGTGGGCCACCTATCCAAAACGCGTCAATTAATTTAACCCCTTCTTCTTCAACCACCCACCATGCCACTAATTCGCTCTTAACGCTCTAGAAATTCAATAGAGTAAGAGGGTAGGATCTTACTAGCTATCCAGGCTTTTAAGAATCAAGAAATCTCTTTAATTCGTGAAGTGGCGCGCCGTTTCGAAGTCCCCCGCTCTACCTTATAACGCCGCCTCGCTGGTGATACCTTTCGTCCTGAAACACGCGCTAATAGTCATATATTAACAGAACTCGAGGAGGAATCTCTTTAAAAATGGATACTCTCTATAGATTCTCGTGGAGGGGCCCCCCGGCACTCTATGGTACGAGAAATGGCGGATCTTCTTCTTTAAAAGCGTGGAACTACCCCGGTTCTTTCGGTCGGCGAAAACTAGGTTACGAAATTTATATAACGGCATCCTCTCCTCTCCTCCCGATTCTTAAAACGGTATAACTACGAGCGTGCGAAATGCGAAGACCCGAAAATCATTTAAGAGTGGTTTAATCTAGTTTAAAAGATAATCCTTTAATTTAGAATCGACCCCGACGATATCTATAACTTCGATAAGACCGGTTTCGCTATAGGAGTGGTTTTAACTATGAAGGTTATTACGAGAAGTGATTTACCTAGTCGAAGAGGAGTTTTATAACCTAGAAATCGTGAATGGGTGACTATAATTAAGTGTACGAATGCTTTAGGTTAGGCCCTCCCTCCGTGTGTGATTTTTAAAGGTAAAGTCTTTCTTAAATCATGGTTCGAAGGCCTTCCGGAGAACTAGCGTTTCGAAGTAAGCCCTAACGGCTAGACCTCTGATGAAATTAGACTCCGTTAGCTAGAAAAGCTCTTTATTCCTAGTACTTCTGCGCGTACGAAGGGGGGTATCGGCTTCTAGTACTTAACGGCCACGGAAGTCATTTAACGCCTAAATTTAACGAAATTTATGAGTAAAATAAGGTGATACTAATCTATATGCTAGCACATTTATCTTATCTTTTATAACCTCTAGATATTAGCTGTTTTACGGTATTAAAACGATCGTACGGTCGGATAGTTAAAACTAAAATGCGGAACGGGATTAACCATATCGATAAGCTTAACTTCCTCGAAGCATACCCCCTCGCACGAATTAAAGCTTTTAAATCGGAGACTATTAAAAATAGCTTCGGAGCAGCCGGTTTAGTCCCCTTTTTACCGGAGAGAGTGATTTTAAAGCTTAATATTCGGCTTCGAACTCTAACCCCCCTAGCTAGCCGGGGTAGTGAATTAAGCCGGAATTTTACACTAAAAACCCCTTTTATAGAGAAAGATCTACGTCGTTAGGCTTCATTAATTAAAGCTTTACTTCGTATAAGATCTCGAAGCCCGCCTAGCCCATCAGATCGTGCATTAAACCAGCTTATGAAAGGCTTCCGTCTTATAATGTAAGGTGCTATCTTACTCGCTAAAGAAAATAAGGAATTACGCGCCGCTAACGAGAAGCAGAAGTAAAAGCGTACTCGATCCCGAAAGCAGATACCCGCCGAAGAAGGCCTTTCAGTTTAAGAAGCCTCTGCATTAATTATGCAGTAATAAGAAGCAATTAAAGCACCTCCCCCCGGCCCCGGCATGCCTAGAGAATTAACTATTCAGCCACGTACGCGGCCCCCCCGGGGGTGTGGAATATGCAGATTGCTAGGGCATAGAAGAGAAACATGTCCAGATAGACCACTTAGTTAGTTGAATTAATTTAATGGCGTTTTGGTTGAGATAAATGCATTTAAAATTGGTAGGTTAGATGGGGTGGCCCACTCGGTAGTGAAATACGTTACCTCATTTAAACTAATCAGTGATACTAAGGAAGATGTGGTTAAAGGTCAGTCACTACCTAATTTATAACTATAACCTAATATTATACTTAGGAGAAGACAAAGAAGTGGCTCACTAAGCGAAGGCGATGAGATATAATCCAGTGCTAAGGATGGTATAGATAAAGAGGGCGAAATTCCTCTCCCTCGATCGTCTAGAAGAGTTCGGAAGGTTTTAAAAAGGCTTAATGGATATGTAGTAGTCTAGTAGATAGGAACTAGGTCCAAGAATATAATATAAGTTTTTATAATAATATACCACCAAAAATTAATATTAAAGAACTTCGGACATGTAATCAGGATACTTAAAAATACAGGGCAAATCTACATAAATTATGCATATCACGAGATTTGCCTGTTTATCTTATTTAACGACCCTTAGGGTCACCCGCGGGTGACCCTCCGAGGGTCCAACCTCTAGGTGGACTACCTTCAGGGTCGGAAGGTTGGACCCTCGAACCGCCCCAGTGGCGGGGCGGTTCGAGGGTCGTGAGGGTCACCCGCGGGTCACTGCCAGGTCTATAGAGGACTACCGTCGAAAAGTGCACAAAGTGCTACAGAAGCTTAAGGACGCTAGGTTATAATGCGATATTAGAAAGTCAGAGTTTAAATAGAGCTCTATTAAATACCTTAGATTTATTATCCGCGTAGGCGAGGGGATTTACGTAGACCCGAAGAAGGTAGAAGCGATACGCGCGTAGGAAGCCCCGAAATTAGTACACGATATTCGCGGATTCCTCGGATTCGCTAATTTCTATAAATCGTTTATACCTCGATTCGCTACCTTATCAGCACCGTTAACTAGGCTCACGAAGAAGGATATAGTATTCTAATAGGATAAAGCTTACTAATAATCCTTCGCAGAACTTAAGGACCTCTTTATTAACGCACCGATCCTAGCACACTTCGAAGAAGATAAAGAGATAGTAGTAGAAACTGGCGTATCTAGATAGGCTACGGGAGCCATATTATCCTAGCGATAAGACGACGGCGAGCTAGCCCCTACGCTTATATCTCTTAGAAATTAACCCTAGTAGAGTCGAACTATAAGATCTATAATAAAGAGCTACTAGTAATTATACGAGCGCTACGGGAATAGAGGCCTAAGCTAAAGATAGTCCCGCGATTTACTATTATAACGGACCATAAAACCTATGGTACTTTAATAAGGTATAGCACCTTAGCGAGAGATAGATAAGATAGGTAGGCTTAATGGTAGAGTTCGACTTTATGTTATACTACCGGCCTAGGAAGCTTATAGTGCTTCCTGATACACTCTCACGATAGGGCTAAGATATACTATAGGATATCACTAACGAACGGCTATTAAATCGGTTCCGAATACTCTTCGAAAAAGTCTCCGTTTAACTAGGTAGACTAAGGTAAGTAGTCACTAACGTCGCGGAAAAAGCA